AGTCCAAGGAATCTATGAGCGTCATGCCCGTCGTGAACAGTAACTGTATCAAAAAATCAGCCAGTTTCTGTATCGAAACCCCCAACTTACCGGCAAAATGACAACCTCCGCTGGTGGAATGGTGCGCCCGGCGGATCCTTCCTTCGCGATAGCAGATATTGCCAGGAGTGCAATAGAGGAGGCCGTGTCGAATCCTATCATGTAAGATTTATCATGGATTCACGTTTCTGGTGTGTCTGCTGCTCACCCAACCCAAAGACGACACCCACTGGGTACATCCAATCCCATCGTAAATCAAAGCTCAAACGGACCATAACTTAGTACACGCCTTCCACGACCGGTCTACGAAGTTGATAAGCGGCCCAAGGAGTCTCATCATCAGCATGTTCGGCTGCTGATTATCATCCGTCAAGTCCATTGCACGCCCCGTGGACCTGGCAACGTCTTCATCTCGCACGGCTGCGAGCCTCGCCTGGAGCTGAAGTGAGCTGTTGAGTGAAACTGCCAAAGAAACATGATGCATACTTGACGACGCTGTCTCAATATTTTGAACAGGATGACGGTGTTCGCGAGGCCAATAATCAGAAGGAAGGCTCCGCTCACTGATGGACCTGTTGCATGTCCCAACGTTGGTTATTCATCGAGGTTGACGGACACGTCCAGGCTGTCCTTTAGCTGCACTCACCAATCACTGAACCAATACTGCCTACCCCCTCAATTCTATTATAGATGCCCGTGCTAATCACAATTGCAACGTTCTGTGTCCAATGGCCATCCAATCAGGCGTCCCGAGGACAACCAAATCACTCACGACGACGATCACAATTGTACTATGTCCCAAGGAGAAGAATAGCCCACATGTAACGGGAAGCTGTCCGCGGCCGATCAAACTTCGAGTTGCGTTGTCAATGGCACTGCATCATAGGTGCATGATGAGGGTTATTCTGAGAGGTAATCAAGGTGTGAATGTGGCATCGCTGTCGGCTCAACTCACCAGAATTGTCCAATTAAAATAGCTACAACCTGATGTGGTCGGCGTCAAGAGCTGTGGAGGCTATCTATAGACCAGAGAAAGTTCGATAGGTGGTCCAAAAACTCACCGTGTCTCAGTCCTATCGTCTATGTTGCATCCTGCGTATATATTCAAGACATCGAAGTAGGAGCCTGCGAATCTCTCACCCATGCAAGGATCGCTAGCCCCATAATGGAGTGGGATCGGGAGGCGATAATCCAGCAGACCGCATTGGCCACAACCTCCAAGCAGACGAGGAGAAGCGAGCGCCCCAGAAGAGTCAATTTAATTGATGGTACTTTGAGTTTACCAGTGCGAAACAGGATGGCCCTGTACCATCGCGGTCGCGGGTCCATCGTATGACTGGAGCTCGGGGGCATAGGCTCTTATTCAAGTGTAATGATTTGAAGCTCGTAAGATGGCTAGGAGATAACGTTGAAACCGGTGCTTATCACTATTCTCGCTGGGCTTATCATGCTTGGAAGTGCAGGTTCGCGGCAGCTTTGCGGGACGGAGGCTTTGGGTTTACCGGCAAATGCCGTTGAGCGCTTATGATGTGATCAGAGTCCCAGTGTCGGTTGCTTCGTGCTGTTTCAACTTTCCTCATAAACAAATATACCCAGGACAAAACACTTTCGACCCATGGTTCGCGTACCTTCTGTTTCTCCTCCTCGCCGCTCCTCAACACGAGAACAAGAACGGCCGGGAAGACGCGAATATGACAGACGGGATCGCCCAGACGATCGGGATTCCAAAGGGGAGTACGGAACTTATCGTAGGGATAGAGAGGACGAACGACGTCACAGAGATAGACGTGACACCGGTAGGCGAGACTATAATGGTAGAAGGGATGGCCGTCCAGAAGACAACTCCGGGTCCGGCCGCAGGGATGAACCTGACCGTGAAAGGAGGAGAAATAGAGACGAGAACAAAGACAGGCGCAGTGAGCGAAGGAGAAGCAAAAGCAGAGAACGCGGAGGTCCTTCCCGCCGCTCGGCATCCCCAAACCAACCTGGTTCTACCCGTCCGCGCTCAGACTCACGCACGCGGTCCAAGTCGCCCCCGCCTGTCGACAAAGCGAAACCGAACTTTGCCCAGTCTGGGCTTTTGGCGGCCGCCACTAACACCGTGAAGGCAGTCGACGGAACTAGCACGGTGCTTAAGTATAATGAGCCACCAGAAGCAAGAAAGCCTGCACTAGGGTGGAGGTTGTACGTTTTTAAAGGAAGTGAACAAACGGGTGAGCGTTCGTTAAAGCCACTCCATTTGATGCCATCTACTGATATTCCCCAGAGCTTCTGCATATCCATCGACAAAGCGCGTACTTGATAGGGCGTGATCGCACTGTCGCTGATATTACCGTCGAGCATCCGTCTTGTTCAAAACAACATGCTGTGATACAACGTATGGACTCAACAGCTTTCCATAAGCTTGAAGCTCATCGTTCTCTTGGTAACAGATCGACAGGTTCACGAAAAGGATGAGTTTGGCGTCCCCAAACCTGCCATAAAGTCCGTATCCTCGTCGCTACCCACAGCCGACACACTACTGACGAAAAGCTCGTCGATCAGACCATTTATCATCGATTTGGAGTCAACAAATGGCACACATGTTAACAATGATGCAATACCGACTTCTAGATATTATGAGCTGAGGGCCAACGATGGTGAATTACGTCCCTCCATCTCTGATTCGATATTGACTCAAAGCTGTTATCAGTGATTAAATTTGGTCAGTCCACTCGAGAGTATGTCCTCTTGCACGATGACGTGGCGTAGACTGGCAAAGTGACAGTAGGGTAGATCTTCAGAGTATACATTTTCAGAGCGCTATTGTCGTGTACTGAGATACTTGTGCATTTAGTGATACATGATGTGCTTGTTGTATTGAACATGCCTCTCGTGCAGTTACTTTTCAGAGAGTGCAACCCGGGCGAGTCCACCGCACACAGCGCCTTTTCACTCCGCAGCATGAGCAACAGGCTGGACCAAAGGCTGCTTTTCAATGTAAGCCGCCGAGGCCAGGAGGAAGTTATGACCCGTCCCATCTCCCTATATACAGGCAGAATCATCGGTGAGCCATCACAACCGTGTGCGAATAAGCTACTCACGATAAAGCCGTTGGGGAACCCGGGATCGAAAGGTATGACGCTCTCCAAGGTCTTCATATGTTCAGGAGTGAGGGTGACTTCGAGTGCCTCTAAATTGGCTTCGAGTTGCTCCACTTTCCTCCCACCGATGATCGGGAAGACATACGGAGTCTTGTGCATGAGGTAGGCGATGGCAATTGATGTGATGTGCTTCGCGCCAACCTCCTTTGCCACCGACTCCAGTGCGGCACTCATTTTTTTCTCATCCTCATTTCGCTCCCAGTTGGGGTTCGATATCATACGCCCTTTCTCACCAGTCTGGCGGCGACGTTCTTCCTCCTCGTCCGTGCGGAGCTTGCCAGCGGCGAGGACGCTCCACGGTGCAAGAGCCAAACCTGGACTGTCGTGAGCACATCTGGAGATAGAAATTAGAGAAATGGTAAGGAACCTTCAGAACGAGCCATCGGGATGATATCGCGCTCAAATGAGCGCTGCATCACATTCCAGAGACCTTGGTAGATGACAAAGGGAGATTTTCCGTGATCACGAGCGTACTGATTCGCCTTGGACACCACCCATGCCGGAGTATCAGAAATGCCCTGCCAGGGGCAAAAAAATCAGTTACACCGCGCGGAAATTCTCTGCCCAACGAGCAGACCTACCAGATACAGTACTTTGCCCTGTTGGACAAGTGTATGGAGACCGTTCATGACCTCCTCGACGGAGGTGTCGAAGTCCCACCAGTGCACGTACAGGATGTCAATGTAAGACGTCCTGAGCTTCTTCAAGCTGGCTTCCACGCTGATGTGCATGGACTTGACGTTGTTGCCAGTGAACATAACTTTTTGCTTCAGATCTTCCCCGCGCATATAGTTAGTGGTGTACTGATCAAGAAGAGCGCATCAACACACAAGTGTAGAATGAAGATCGATCATATAATGAGTACATACCTTGGTCGCGATGACGAGCTGGTCACGGATTCCACGCTTCTCAGCCCATTCGCCAATAAATTCTTCTGAAGTCTGATCTTGACTGAAGAGGTTCCAAGTCAGCGAAATCCCGAAGGTCCGCAAAGAGCCACTCAACTAGTTGTTGGCAGTATCGATAAAGTTTCCTCCGGCGTCATAAAAGGCGTCAAGGAGCTTGAACGACGACTCCTTGTTCATGCTACCCATACCGAAATTCTCCCACTTGTCTCCGATGCTCATGGCGCCAAGTTGCAGCGGTGAGACATGAATCCCGGCTAGGGGAGACAGGGCTCGATATCGGGCAAGTCGCGAGGCGGGCTTTGGGGCCGGTTTCCAGATCGAAGACATTGAGTACAGTAGTTGCGTGTGTGATGGTTATGAGTGGACGTGGGATTAGCCTCCAGCAATCCTCAGCTTTATATTTCAGCCAGACCTACATATCGTCAGCGATTTTGACAGATAAGTGCAGGACGCGTCAGTGTCTGCCGGAAGAAGGCTGAGTAAGTTTCAAGTTGCTGACAGAAATACATCTCCTTTCATTTGGCCGTCGAAACGCTCACCCAAGAACTTCTGCGGAGAATGAGTGGGGAACCTAACCTCAGTTTGGGGTTACCACGATCTTACATGGAGGAGCAGCTGACTCACATATGAATCGGTACCGAGCGCTGCCCCGATTGCATTGCGTAGGCCTGCCGCAGGGAAGATGATTGAGGCTGTAATTGTGGTTTTCAATCACCGTTGACTATCGGGGAAGCATCGCAGGGACGTGCTCGTGCTGTTGAGGTTGTCGAACTTTCCATCCTGCCACCTGCTCTTCCCAATATTGAGTGCTTCTGGGTAGGTGCTTCTGCATGTGGGGGGCGTTGGATGGGAGGTTCGGCAAATGGGGTATTTCGCTCCAAATGGGGAGATTATCCGGGATGTTTATATCGCCCGCCTAGCTCAATCGGATAGAGCGTCAGACTCTTAGTGCGGGTCCCCATCGGCTTCTCGGCATCTGAAGGCTGCGAGTTCGACCCTCGCGGTGGGCTATGATTATCTCAGATTTTTTCTAGCGCTGGAGACCAACGATTGACGTTTTTTTCTTTTCCAATGAGGAAGGGACCTGGAGGCTTGACTTGGAAGTTTCCATTTTAAGCGTGCGAAAATACTAATATATTAGGAGACGCCCCTTGACCCTAAATCGAGGTTAGGTGCACGGGTCATGAACAAGTTGCATACCGCAGTCAACTCCTTAGTGCAAGACTATGCAGAAGGCGGTCTCTCCTTTTATACATGCAAGTTCTTCCTCAGCGCCCGGCTCGAACATGCCAACTAATTTTCACGTCACTTTTGCGTTGACAATCTCTGGCTGACATTGATCTTTATTTTTGTCGCCATGAGTCACTCACCGGCAGACACTGACGCGTGCGTCAGCCTTCTCTATACTAGAAGGCCTCTATCTACCTGTCAGAGTAGCTGACGAGGTAAGCTGACGACATGCAGCTCTGGCTGCAGTATAAAGCTGAAGGTCGGCGCGCCTTGGACTACACGCACACATTTAACCCACTTTACAACTACTACATTCGATGGCATCTACGCTCTGGAAACCGACACCTAAACCCGCGTCACGGCTCGCCCGATATCGTGTTCTGTCGCCTCTGGCGGGTATCCACGTCTCGCCACTACAACTTGGTGCCATGAGCATCGGTGACAAGTGGGAGAATTTCGGCATGGGCAGCATGAACAAAGAATCTTCATTCAAACTCCTCGACGCGTTTTACGATGCTGGAGGAAATTTTATCGACACCGCGAACACTTAGTTGAGTTGATGTATGTTGGCCGTGGGGTAATTGCTGACTTGCTTGTCTGCAGCCAGGACCAATCTTCGGAGGAATTTATTGGTGAATGGGCTGAGAAGCGTGGAATCCGCGACCAGCTGGTCATTGCGACAAAGGTACTCGTCGTACCCTCGTTCGCATGCCTGTTTGTTCATGCTCACGCATCTTTTGCCACAGTACACTACCAATTATGTACGCGGCGAGCAGGGCATCAAGCAACGAGTGATGTTTACCGGCAACAATGTGAAGTCTATGCACATGAGTGTAGAAGCCAGCTTGAAAAAACTCAGGACGTCTTACATCGACATCCTGTATGTGCACTGGTGGGACTTCGACACCTCCGTCGAAGAGGTCATGAACGGTCTCCATACACTCGTCCAACAGGGAAAGGTACTGTACCTGGTAGGTCTGCTTGTTAGATAGAGAATTTCCACGCGATGTAACTGATTTTTGGTTCCTGGCAGGGCATATCTGATACTCCAGCATGGGTGGTGTCCAAGGCGAATCAGTACGCTCGTGATCACGGAAAATCCCCTTTTGTCATCTACCAAGGTCTTTGGAACGTGATGCAGCGCTCTTTTGAGCGTGATATCATTCCGATGGCCCGTTCCGAAGGTTCGTCAGCTCACCAATGTTTGCCCACATGCTTGCTTACAGTTCCATAGGCTTGGCCCTGGCTCCGTGGAGTGTCCTTGCGGCAGGAAAGCTCCGCACGGATGAGGAGGAAGAACGTCGCCGCCAGACTGGTGAGAAAGGGCGTACGATATCGAACCCCGACTGGGAGCGAAATGAGGACGAGAAGAAGATGAGTGCCGCACTGGAGTCGGTGGCAAAGGAGGTCGGCGCGAAGCACATCACCTCGATTGCCATCGCCTATGTCATGCAAAAGGCTCCATATGTCTTCCCGATCATCGGTGGGAGGAAGGTTGAGCAACTTGCGGCCAACATAGAAGCACTAGAAGTGACTCTCACACCCGAGCATATGAAGGCTTTGGAAAGTGTGGTACCACTGGACCTGGGCTTCCCTAATGCCCTCATCGTGAGTACCTTTCTGCGCTCACCGTTGAAATCGCTCATTGATTACTCTTTATTGACATAGGGGGATGGGACAGGCTACAACTTCCTGATGGCGTCGGCCGGGTACCTCGAGAAGCAGCGTTTGGTTCAGCCCATCGCTCCGGATGCAGAATGAATTACATTATGAAGAGCAGACTCGTCTAGTTCGTTTCTTTTACTGGATGTTCGGCGCAACGGATCGTGGTACATCGCAAGCACAGAGGAACATAGTAGATCATATGTAGTTTGCCTCTCGCATCAGGTTTAGGCTTTGTAGGCTTTCCTTCCCTCCTAAATTCTGAGTCGCGATATCATTGCGTAGCCATGTTCGCGGTAAGCCTCCAACAGCCGGCTTCAACGGTTCGACCATCTCCATTCTGTCCAGATGTCCTCAACGAACGACATTCCACAAATGGTGGCCGTTCTCAGGGCAAAATGGGCCGTCATCCGACTAGAGCCATGTGATAGTATATTAGCAAAAGGCCCGGGCGATACATATTCCAGTGCGTTATGTATACATGTGAATGGAAGGGTATTAGCATGATGTATGAGCACAAATAGTGGGAGACGCGATGAGGGGTAAGAGAGACCATCCAATACATATTTTGGCGTGAACGTAAGCTATTTCCTAGACAAACGTGCGGCATGCGATGTGACAGAGATACAAGCGGTGTCGCGACGGTACATCTGATAGAAAAGATAAATCTGCAAGCAACATCAGGTTATCGAGCGTAACCGAACTCATCGACGGTACTCACCATTTTGAGTCATTACAGTCATCACTAATCATCAGACTCAACTTGCGCAAAGAGACTAAGGTCCCCCACGCAAGTGATGTGTTTGTTGTCCAGATGACGCTTGAGAGCGTCACGCCTGCTAAACTCCTTGCCACAGCCTCCAATCATTGGCTGGCCCTGGAAGGTATAAGGCTGTGCATCAGCTGGTACTTTGTATGCGCCAGACATCTCCATTGCGACTCCACAACACACCCATTGTGCAGGTCTTTGGAAACGCGTATGCGTGCGGATATGGCGCTTGAGATCAGGAGTGCGATGGTTCCGTTGGACCCAAGAGCAGTGAGGGCAAGCCCATGGATTAGATTTGCGCGATCGTGCAGACGTGGCAGAAAGATCAGCATCAGCGGGAAGTTGGATGTTGCGAGGTTGTGGAGATTGCCTCGGGCGTTTAGAACGGCGAGCAGAAGACGTAGCAATGTCGTGGTTGTCGGAGAAGGAGGTAGACGGGGTATCGGATCGATTGCGACGACGCTTGCGCGGTTGGATAGACGGAGAGGGCATGTATTCGTCATCCGTGACATTTCCAACGCTTTCGCCCTCCGCGTCTTCGTCAGAGTCCGCTCCAGCAAAGAAGGATTGAGTAGCGGAGGCTCTCGTGGAACGGGTCGATGATTGCGTAATCGCGGGAGGTTGGCTGGCAAATGACTCTTCCGCGAACGCGAACAACCTCGCAACATGCGCTTCGGGCTCCACATCATATTCGACACGCCCATCTAAAACTGGGCTAGGTTGACGGGGGGAAGGGTGATCAAACGGTGGGACGTAAGGCAGATCTGGTGTTCGTTCGACTCCGGTTTTTCTAAAAGAACGTCAGCACCAATCATAAATCTGCAAAACGAGAAGCTCACAACGTGGGCTCATGGTATTCGATATCTTCGTATGCAATATAATGCGGTTCTGGTGAAAGTTCCAAAAATTCGACGTCTGAATCCGAGTCTGAACCTGAATCACCATCACTGTCCGGTTCGCTTTCATAACTGTACACCGGCGAACTGAGGGAGGATGGGGAGGACGATGATGAGCCAGATGAAATAACGGAAGGGGGGCTAGGGATAGAAGTCAAAAACAAAGTCGATGACTTGTCATCGGTATCAAATGGTGCAGCCGCTTCAGCAAGCCAGCTGTCGTCGTCGTCGTCGTCCTGGGCGCGGAGCTTCTCGTAAAGTGTTATCATTGACGGGCGACGGTATGCAGTGGAAGATGACATGGTGAAGATTGTGAGGAATGAAGACAAAAACTCGTCTCCCCAATGTATTATATAGGTCTGAGCCCTTTCTTTCTTTCATGTCTCAGCCTTTGCCTTGCCGACCTCGTTTTTGTTCTTTCAGGCAACTCCGACGGTTGGTACCCTCGAGTGTTATCACATCGAGGCAGCCTTGTTGCGCGAATAACCCTAATTAAGACCTGAGATATCCGCCAGATTGGTGGTCAGAACAAATAAAGGGCTTCGTAGATTATTGACGCTATACCTGGATGAGGGGGGATCGAGATCCTGCGATAATCTTGAGAAAGAAGCGTGTGAATGTGACTGAGCGGAGTGGTATGAGTTGGTTGCTCCACATGGGTTGGCATCGGGGTGTTACCTGGACCATTGGGCGTAGACCGGCCGCATTTACCATTGGGCGTGAACTGGCTGCATCCGGTACTGTGGGTCATCGCACTCTCCAGGATAATAGCTGGATCTGGATGCCGAACCACCAGTCAGACAAGAGATCTTAATAACACAGCCACCGTACACCTTGCCGGCCTTGTCTCCGTGCCATGTTTCGGAGATTCTCTGGCGACATGAAAGAAAGTTAGAGAGGGGAGTAATGTGCCTTGGCACTGTGACATCAGCGGGTTTGAGCTCTTTGTGGGACGGGCGTAGTCACCACAACACGCGGCAACCCTTGCTAATTCGCCCGCCTCGTGTTACAGGCTGAATCCGAAACCATTCAGAGGGAGTCGGAAGCAAAGGCGACAGTGGTCATGTTGGGGTATTCCCATCTGCCTCGTGCCGTAGAGGCTATTTGCAGATGGTATCACAGGGTACCACCCGGCTGGGGCTTGGTTTCGGGGTTAACCATTTGATAAGTGAATAAATTGGACACAGCAAGTAAGAGAGGCTATAGCACTATCTTTCCCTACGGGAGCGGATACGTTTTCCGAGTTGTACAGCAGGTCCCCGCCTATGTGTACCGTCAGCAAACGTGAAATTTATGCTGAGCACGGACTCACCCTCGAATTGTCTTCTTCGGTGATATCTCGTGTGCATAGTCGTCGACACTGCCGTGCTGTCTGAACTTCTCCATGCACCAAAGAATGTACCTGTAGTACGGAAGCGTGAATTTCGGTCTGACAGACAAAACATGCGAAGCT